GTTCTATATGATCGATTTTTATACTTGTCTTCAAAATCGATATATATTACATACTCATTACTGGATATAATGTGACGAGTGTTTTCGTACAGTGGTATTACTAAGTGTGAAATATTATGACGAGTCTTTTCGTACACTGGTATAACTAAGTGTGAAATATTATGACGAGTGTTTTCGTACACTGGTATTACTAAATGTGAAATATTATGACGAGTCTTTTCGTACACTGGTATTACTAAGTGTGAAATATTATGACGAGTGTTTTCGTACACTGGTATTACTAAGTGTGAAGTATTATGACGAGTGTTTTCGTACACTGGTATAACTAAGTGTGAAATATTATGACGAGTGTTTTCGTACACTGGTATTACTAAGTGTGAAGTATTATGACGAGTGTTTTCGTACACTGGTATAACTAAGTGTGAAATATTATGACGAGTGTTTTCGTACACTGGTATTACTAAGTGTGAAATATTATGACGAGTCTTTTCGTACACTGGTATTACTAAGTGTGACATATTATGACGAGTGTTTTCGTACACTGGTATTACTAAGTGTGAAATATTATGACGAGTGTTTTCGTACACTGGTATTACTAAGTGTGAAATATTATGACGAGTCTTTTCGTACACTGGTATTACTAAGTGTGAAATATTATGACGAGTGTTTTCGTACACTGGTATTACTAAGTGTGACATATTATGACGAGTGTTTTCGTACACTGGTATTACTAAGTGTGAAATATTATGACGAGTGTTTTCGTACACTGGTATTACTAAGTGTGAAATATTATGACGAGTGTTTTCGTACACTGGTATTACTGAGTGTGAAATATTATGACGAGTGTTTTCGTACACTGGTATTACTAAGTGTGAAATATTATGACGAGTGGTTTCGTACACTGGTATTACTAAGTGTGAAATATTGGAATTACATATATCTACATTCCTTTTTTATATTAAGTTGTGATTCAGTTTCGTAATTAAACGAATTTAGTGTTTAAGAAGAGAGTTTCATTGTCTCCATTCACTGTCAGATGGTTAAATTTTAGTCCTAAATCAAACGAGACCTTTTCAAAGCAACTAGTACTAGTAGATCTGCCCCATCTGCGTCTAATGCAGCCGCCCCAGTGGGGTGTCATTGGTTAATGAAGATCAAAGGATCTAGTTTACTGCACTTATTCTGTTGTCCCTCAATTACATCTACAGTCTATGAACCTTTTTTTTATATTTATTTCATTATATACTGTTAAGTTTAGATTGCCGGCCATTAGTGGACAGTAAGCACGAAGCACTAAGACTCCTGTCACACGATTCTTTACGTTGAAATTGCAAAAATAATTTGTAATCATCTTTAGTTGTAAAGTTAAGGACCTCCTCAAGCAGAACAGTCAAATTTGGTCGGAGATTTTATAAACATTAAAATAACAGGGTGATTTTTTTTGTTTGGAGTAATGGCGAACATAAAACAGATGTTTCACGGATTAGACTGGGGTTTATAATCATGGCCAATGAATGATGCCGACTGATCATTATTACACTTTTTAATTTACGTTTCAAACTCTCTCAATTCAAAGTTTACTATACACTCTTTTATGAGATTTATTGCTTTATGAGCAATTTGAAAAGTTAACATTGATGAAACTGAATTATTTTCAGCAAATAATAATACGAAAAGGAGTGGTATCTCGTTGATACGTAGAAAAACAACTAAGTTAGAACAAGGTGGTCAGCTGTATAAAAAAAGAACCAATTTAGATAAAAGAATAACCCCTGCAAAGATGTAATTTTAAAATGGGTAAGTTAAACGAGAAAAAAAAATGTTGAATGATTGACCCCCTTTTTTATTGCTACTAAACAAGCAGCTTTGTGAATATAATAAGAGGGTTAAGTTTCGTCAATTTTATCCTGTTTAACTTGTAAACCCAGTAAAGATATACATATTATTAGCCGCGGCATAGCGGCTCATAGAACGGCTCCGAGTTATTTTTATCAAGTACAAACTTTTAGCTCATAGCTCTGTCATCTCTTGACCGATTTGAGATCTAAGTACGATTTTGGACTCAGGAGGTCAAACCCTTTCGATTGGTGTATTTGATCACGCCCAAGGTCTCATAGGTTAATTTATTCTAATCCTGCCAAAAAGAAATTCAAGTGCCGCGGCTATTGAGGATTCCCTCTTGTCTATATTTCATTTCATTACATGGCTGACCCATTTATCCTAACTTTATTGTTTTTGTACGTGTAAAATGTTTTGATCAATGATATGGTACCGAAGACTAGAATAACTCGCTTTAAACTTGTTTCTTTGTCTTTTCGTGGTTTTTTAATCTAGCTTTACCTTCTTCACTGTAATGCTCTTACATTTCCAAGAAATTTTCGAACGATAGGGGATAAGTTTTCGTGTTTTCATGCTATAAGCCCAAGCCTATATGGAATCTCTTTCATAAGACAAATTTTCTACTTAAAAACGAACCGTTCCCGGTTCCCGCGCTTTCGGATGACTGTTAGAGGTTAACAGAGTGGTTATTGTAGGAAATGAGTAAGACCTGACAAATTCCCATTTCAGGATATTGATTGGACTCAAATATATTTTAAATGTTTTTTTTTCAAAATAAAAGCCTTTTGTGACCGTTGATAACGACTCCAACTTTGCAATGTGTGCACACAAATAGAGCCGCTTGTTCACGGTAGGTTAGGTTTTTCGCGCTAATATTCATAAATATCCAAACGCTGTCAATACCAACCGCGTCTCTGCCAGGCGTTTACCGCGGGAGTAAAGCGAAATCGTGATAAACAAAGATTGAGTGTTCTACAGTACAAACAACCTTGTTAAAACGATTGATGTATTTATATTACAAGAACGTTTTCTACAGATTTATAAGGGCATTCCTCTTTCAGTAGCAGAATGATATATTTACAGTTATTTCTTCTACTACCAAATGTCGTTTCAGAACCGCCCTCAAAACCAGACCTGCAAATTTTATATGATAATATATATGCTTGTGAATTATACAGACGTAAAAGTAGTTTTATTTATTCATTACAGTTTGAGTCCCACAATGGATGAGCAGTAACTGCGGCCTCTTACTGCTAAAATCAGAGGTTCGATTCCCCGCGATGGACAGAGTGCAGATAACCCTTTGTGTAGCTTTGCGTTGGAAACAGCAATCAAACAAACGATTAGTGCAGTTAGAATTTTTGTACTATTAATACTGAATCACCTAATGGGAATACTAAGACTTGTGTGACAAGTAGAAAATGTTTCGTGATGATTTATTACTTTAATTGTTTAGTTCAGGTTCTTGTGAAAACTGTGAGTTTAATTATGTCTTATGTGTTGATGTTTAGAGGAACATAATTAATATCTTGGAGGTTAAAAGTTACTTTGAAAACGTCTAGATATGTTTCTAAGAATCGAGCATTTCAAGTAGGCGTTAAGTTTCTCTCACAAAGTTTTATTTTCATCTAATATATATATATATATATGAGTGTGTGTATTTCAGTTATCTGCATTACATCAAAGGCGTACAGACAATTACTCATCTCTACACAGCAATGACGAGATAATTATGTAAAAAAAAAAAATTATCATAGACGTACGCGCCAACAAATACATGATGGCGCCAGCAAAGAATGTAACAAAACAAAGTACAATAATACCATTTATATAGATATATAGAAAATCAGTACTTAAACAGTTGGGCTTTTATATTAGTATAAATTGTCTATTACAATAGGGGTGGAACGCCAACATCAGGAGGTAAGTTTATCTCGCCCCCAGTGTTAGAACCTTTTTTTTAAATTACTTTAGAGAGCAGTCACCTTCCCACAACTCTCTGCGGGGAGTGAAGGGTGATATAGTTGTGGGCTTGAGCACCCACATCTTGCTCTCCTAACTTATATATTTTGATAATTATTATTTCTTCAACATGTGAGACTGGCGAACGGAGGTTAAGACTGATAGACGGTGTATCTCCACCGCAATATGTGTCCTACTTCCACAGTTACCTCCAAAACCCAGGGAATATTATAACCTGTACCATGGGAATGCTTTCAAGTTATGAAGTGTCTTCAATTTCTTGTTTTGTATGGGCCTGTTTTTGTTTATTTAAATATATATATATATTTGTATAAGTGGTATAATTTTATGTTTATATTATTTTTTTCAAGTTTTGCTGGCGCCATCATGCATTTGTTGACGGGTACATCTATAATACAGATGTTGTATTTTCCATTATGTATATACAGCAGTCCATACAACTAGACACAAAAAGAGTCATACGTACGGAACAGACAAAACAAAACTATAAGAAAAGCGACACTATGTAAAAGATAAAATGTAACCTACTTTATGTTTAGGAACAATATATTTACATTTTTGTTCAAGCTCCTTTGACGGTATTATGAGTTCATCCTGTGTTTAGCGAGCAAATCGTCACTATGTGTTTATTATGGCAGACGTTAAATTCGCTAAAGCGTTGTTGGAACTATGTCGCTCAAAGTGTATTTTTCGTAATAAATAAGATAACCAGGAATGATACAATAATTTATAGTAAATGCAGTCAGTAGCCATTTCTACTGATAAACAATTTGTGCGTAGAATATATCTTGATAAACTCTAGTTTATTCTAGTCTTTTCTCTTTTCATTAAACTGTTCATTTTGAATATAGTATTATAATTTATTATAACAACTACACGTAGACTTGGTATTATGTTATTTCACTTGAAACAGCACAGACGTAGCAGAATGATCAGCATCATAGGTGCGCTGTTCATTTCCGCTGTGTAACAGTGCTGCTGCTACAGATCAAAAACAACAACCTGGAGAGCGGCCAGTTTTCAGCTCACAGAATTGATTTCTGGTCTGGTCTACAGTATTAGCGAAGCCTTGTGTCACAGCAACGGGACTTTCCACTAGTTAATATAGAGGGAGAGACTGCTGTCGTGAATAAAAAACGTTGAAGAGCATGAGTCAAAAAAGCTTTTGAAAAAATTTTTTATGTTCTTCAGTGGTTACAAGATCTCTAGTTACAGAAAAGGAAAAAAAAACTTTGTATTTCTATGGCTTATAAAGCCATCTATGAAGCTAATATATCTGTCTAATGTCTGGGCGTGGCAAAACCTTCTGCTGTCTTATGCTCCTTTTGAGGAAGTTTTTTTAAAGAATTGAGTAAAGTAAGTACTAAGATTCAGAATTATTTGATGTATTTGACTAATACATATTTGGTCTGAGTACTTATTATATGAATAATTTTTCTTCTACTACATTTTGTTTTTTACCCTCAAATAAATTGTTAACGTGTTTAATTGCTTCTTTTCTGACTGTTGGATCGGTATTAGTCCTAATATTTAGTTAGAGTAAAATAATTTAAACTCGTATCGTCTGATGAAAAGCTGAAAGGAACGGACTAGAATTAACCGAATTTATTTATTTTCTGTGTAAAGCCGGGACTTATATCATGACGAGATTGGTGTTTAAAAATGACGCAAGATTCACAGCTAAATGCAGCACAAGTTTCTGAAATCTGACTAAACTAAGTTTTACTTTAAGAATAATACGCTATTTGATGACAAAACGTTTATTGTAATAATAAATCACGCAGTATGATTGAAACACTTATATCTGGTGCTCTAATATTTGTAGCAACGTATTCATTCATAACTCATTATGACATGCAGATAAAATTTTTGTAAATATATAAAAACAGTTCAGAGAATTAACACTGCGTTTGCCATGACAACAAATAATATTATGTTTGCCATGACAACAATCAACATTAGGTTTGCCATGACAACAATCAACATTAGGTTTGCCATGACAACAATCAACATTAGGTTTGCCATGACAACGCTTTAAGCTTCAATTTATCTTTCTGTGGCTCATTTTTTTGTAACATTTATTGAAATATTGCACAAAATATTTAAAAAATTATGCAAAATTTGGTGTGATATGTAGCCATATGATGAATATTTTATAAACGAAATTTAAAAGTTGGCCATTATTGGAAATATAAATTTAAATGGTGCACAACAGTCTTATTGGAATACTCGTTTTTGTCTTATACATGGATGTAAACTCCAAACAGTTAGATCAGTCTGCTCGGACAGGCATACCACAGGTTTTAAATAGAGTATTAACATTCGTACAGCGATTTCTATAACTGTTAGTAACATGACCCTTGTTAAAATTACAACGATAGATTTTTATGTCTGCGGACTTACAACGCTAGAAACCGAGTTTCGATACCCGTGGTGGGCTAAGCACAGAGAGTCCATTGCGTAGCTTTGTGCTGAACTTCAAACAAACAAACGATGGATTTTTAACAAATATATATATGTAAAAGTTTGGAGACGGCTTGACTGGGTAATGAAGAAAACTTTATCATAAATGTACGACGTTTCGACAAGATTATGTCATCCTCGGGTCTCGAAACTTTTATTTTCTAAAAAGTGGGTTCCTCGTCATCAAATTTAAACATAAATATAGTCTTGGTTAGGCTGTCACTACTGTGTTTCATTTGTTTTTTCCGTTGTTGTTGTTTTTGCTTAAGTAAAGAATTACGTGAATCAAAAGCTTTCTTATAGTTCTGTTCATCAGGAGTAGAAGTGATTAGATTATGTGTCAGACTATATAAGTCATGGTGGTCATGAAACAAGCTGACCAATAAGGTAGAGTTTCGTGTGTGTCCTGTCTGACACATATTCAAGGTGAGGAAGCGTCGTCACAGAACCAGAAAGTCGGAAAAAGTAAAGAAAATGTAATTAACGTGAAAATGGGAAGCTTAATTAAAACATAGAAAGCCTCCTAGAATATTAAAGTTTGTAAAAAACCGGCAACGATCAGAAATGTCTACGTTAGTTTCGTTAAAGGTACAATATTTAGAAGGACTATCCATAGATGTTTTCTTATCTTTGTTTATTTTTTGGCTAGAAACGTTTGAGGTCGGCTAAAGAATGGGTACATAAAAAAAAAACATTTGACAGTTACCACGATCAGCCAAACCTCTGGAAACGCTCTTTGTTGACGTATAATTTACTTGAACAAGATACAAACATTCACTGATGGCTTGCACGTTTCATTCATAATTTCATCAAATTAAGCTCCAGACGCTCTCCAAGTCATTTCACTTCCTCGTATATTTAACTGTGGAAAATTGCCGTTCCGGAAATCAACAGTACTTCTAATGTAGGAACTGCTTCCCTCCACAAATCAAACAAAATACCGCTTACAGTCTATCCCTGAGAATAAATGAAATTCATTACGTCAGCAATACTTGCAAATGTTGCGTTAGTTAAAAGACACTATAATCTCAGGACGTTAAAAAGAATATTTAAAACGGGGTAGATTTTCTCGCGAAAAATAATCCCGCTGTTCAATGTCTTCCCAAATCCCATTGGTCATCACTTTAACCATAGACTTAAAAAAAAAAAACACTTAACCTTCCCCAACTTAATAGTCGACTTCAAAGGATATCTATTGAAATTCCATTGAGTTTGGCTGGAGAGACTGAAATCTGTAGTTTATTTTAGTTTCCATAACGTGAACTTGAATCATCACCTATAAGATGTAATTTCGTTACACACACGTGGTGCTAAGCACGCAAATGTATGAAATATCTTGTTTACTTTTCTGATAAAAGAACTGATTGCACTGTACAGAATCATGTGACGCGTTACTTAGGCCGCTAAAACTGGCGTTTATCTCATTCGTTGTCAACAATTTATATTCCAATGTATTAGATAAACCGAAACGTATTATTCGGGAATGGGTCAACAATCACAACTTTTCTGTCCATATCAAAAATACTCTTATTCATTAAATATATCAGCTTACCTGGGAATTACATAGACTACTTTAATAGATATATATATACACGGTTTATAAATTTCTGAAAATATATATAGAGAGAAGGAGGCGTTAAACTCTGTCATGCATAACAGGTTTAATATATCCTTTTACGTTTTATATCACGCTCTGTTCTACAAATATCTCGATGGCTCAACACTAGAATTCAAGGCTCCTTCCCCGCAACAGACAGTGCAGGTATCCCCTTGTTCAGTTTTGCACCAAAGCAAGCGAGTAACCTAGAAAGCCTTCATCATATAACGTTTTTGTTACTTGTCCCTTCTTAGATTGTTTTTATTTCTTTCCTGAGATGATGATAAGAAACACTAAACTGGACTTAATCAACTTTTCTAACTCGTCGTTTCTTTTCCAACACATCCTTCAACTTCTTGCATCAGAGTATCCTCCAACTTTTAACTAACACATCCTAATTAAATAGAGCTATAAACTCTTTACCACACTTCTTCCTGCGTTATTGTGTTCTTTATTATAAACTACACGTGCAGTTTAACTAAACAGGCTACAATCGGAATTATAAAGCGATTCTCTTTTTTTCTTTGGGGAGGGAGGGGGGTAGAGTTTAAGGAACAGAAAGAGAAAGTAATTAATCTAATGCCTAAACATTCGAACTAGACATAATTAAATGGGATTTACCTAACTTATTTTTTTACAACAGAACAAGACAGTTGTCAAGAATACGCAACTACAATTTTGTAATGAATTTCCAAGATTAGGAATATATTTCAAGTTTACTTTTTTGTGTGTGTGTGTGTGAAATCTGCCTTCACTTTTTAATTATATTGAACATCGGGAAGAACATTACGTTCGTTATAATACTATTCTTACAAAGCAGAATATTAAAAAAATGTTTTAATTCCAAACTTTTTATGTGGAATCTTCTTTACTTGCATCTGAGAAGAGAAACTTAATACTTTATAGAGCAATTTTCTATGTTTTTTTTTTTAAATGTAATGACTATCAGGGGCCTAATAGAATACATTGTCATAATGTTTTTCCAATTTTCTTTTTTTTTTCTGTAGGTAATTAGGAAGATGAAAAATTACTTATGTAACTAAGATGTAAAAAAAAATGACACGAGTTTCAAATCTTCAGTTAGTCACCCCGTTACCAACTCATCAGGCTTGTTTTACGGTAATGGTTTTCCAATGTAGTTTTTATGTCACTGTGGCATCTGGTTTCCCGCTGCTAATTACCTACCTTCAAAGGGCATGTATAAAAATCCCTCCAAAAAATAACTGTCTAAAATGTACAGGAAAGTGTTGTTTAAATATGTTTCGTGTTGTTTAAATATGTTTCATAGATATTTCTTACGATTTTATAAAGTTTAGTTATTAATCATTGCCACAAATCAGTATGTTGGTGGGTTCGACATTAGTCTGTCTGTTGAAAACTTGAAATTTTATAAATATGACGTACCCGAAAATTATGTATGTAAACTGTGATGATATAAATGTCAGACTTCTTTGTTCTTCTGTAGGAAGAGGAATAAATTATTTTGATTTTTGAAGAACAAACTTTTAAGAAGTCAGATATAAACATTAGAGTTGGCCGTAGTCTCTAATATAGAGTTAGAACTGTAGGCCCAAGGGTCCATGGCTCGCGTCCCATTTCTACAAATATTCGCTTAGAACTTTGGTGCCATGAGTGGGTTATAAAAGTGAAGGTTAAATCCCATTATTCGATTAGAGTAGCCCCAAGAATTGTAGGTGATGCTGTTGACTAGCTGCCTTCCCTCTATTGCAGATGGCCCTTGCTTAGCTTTGCGTAAGTATTTAAAAGAAACCAAATTCAAAAGTTCAATTCTATTGTATTGAAGTAGAAAAAGTAACTGTTAAGTCATATTAAGTTTTCTATTTAGAAACTCTAAATTATCTTTTCTCATTGGCGCTATTTAAAGTTATGTTATAATGTTAATTATCAAAGGATTGTTTGTTTGTTTTGAATTTCGCGCAAAGCTACACGAGGGTTATCTGCGCTAGCCATCCCTAATTTAGTAGTGTAAGACTAGAGGGAAGGCAGCTAGTCATCACCACCCACCGCCAACTCTTGAACCAACGAATAGTGGGATCTGAGTTGCTCAAAATTGTACAGAAATAAAATATTTAATATTTGGCTGCAACCTTAAAAAAAACTGTTTATGAACTG